TTTTTTTTTTTTTTTTTTTTTTGGTTTTTTCATTTCATTTTCAATAGCATTTATTGAATTTTTCAGTAGAAATGTTTTAGGAATCTAACAACGATGGTTACTACTCGAACGAAGAAATTAGCGGCAGGACTTTCAGAACGGAACCTTCCAGATGCAAGTTTTACAATCGAATGTCCACGGATGATACTGAATTTTTCCATGAAGTTGGTTTTCCAAACGGAACTCACCAATTACTAATTATTTTAGGGGTGTTTTCACTTACAGCTGTATGGTAGTTTTCCACAATATATTAGCTGTATTTATTTTCCAACTTCATCTATAACGAAATAAATAGTATTAATCAAGGGCCACTAGTGAATTTGAAAAATTATGATAAAGTCAAAATTTAGAACATGGTAAGTGATGGCGAGTTTTCAGATGGTAACTCCTCCTCATCATCATGGAGTGAAGAAGGTTCGATCTGCAAAGATTTCACATTCTTTGTCAGTTTCCTGTTTATTTTTGCACACAACTTTATTTACACTTTAAAAATATAAATCTTCGGACTTTCAAGGCTCAGATTTTTCGTCTGATCTGATATCTGATCCAGAATCGTTAAAAAGTGGTGACGTTTTGAAAGGTCAGGGTAGGAAGGAAATGCTACCACAAAAAATGCATGGTAATTCTTGAAATTAATTACTGTGTTTCCCGTTTGTCACATAACGCTCTGTTTTAACATCATTCTTAGTAGCTCAGTGACTCCTTGAACTGTTGCATACTTGCGAGAATAGGTAAAAAAGTAATTATTATAATTTCGCACTCTTCCTCTAGTTCACATTTAATCGCTGGCTTAACTTTTTTTTTTTCAAGCTTAAGCGAAAATTCGGAATTGCTACAAGAAGCACGGAGTTCTTCCCGTTATGGAACTTTACTGTAAATTTTGTACGTTTGTTTCAAACGTTATTGAAGCACTAGCTTTCCAAGAATAATCCCAAGTTGCATCCCCATTTAAAAATAATGCCGCATTTTGCATGGAAGTATTGTTTAAGTTCTGTTGAACGATCGTAATTAGCGGTAGGAGAATAAAAAGATGATTCAGCTACAATCAGTTTGTTCTCTTTGTTAAGAAAATACATTATTTTAGAGTTATATCATGATATTAATCTTGACTGGAATATTATTTTATGCATGTTCTGTGGCGTGTGTATCTTTGGAACTAACACCTAATAGTACAACCTCTGTCGAAATTACTCTTCTTTTCTTACTTGCCTACTGTTTCTGGTCTTTACTAAACGTTTAGCTCC